AATATTATTAATATAATAATTTCACTACATCATACACTAGTATAAATATTTCGTGTAATTTATTTGTTGAATCGTTAGCATATGTTGTAAAATGTATTTTTCTGGCATTAAAAGTAATAAAAATCTAATAAAATAATACGATTTCGATAAATAGATTTCAGTAATTAAATAAAAAAATAATTATTCGACATACAAGTCTATTAGTATCAGTACATTAAGGGCAATAAACGCAATTACCATTCGATTGCTCTTTTATGATTATATTTATATTATATTTAATCTCAAAATGAATATAAAAACAAATATAAATTATAAATAAAATCAAAATCGTTTTTATAAGCATCGCTCATACGACTAGCAACAATATTATGGAATACATTTTAATTATATTTGAATTATAATTATCTATTAAGATTAATTCAAAACGTTAAAAGTCTTAATACTTTAGTTGTATTTAAGGAGTTTTGGCATATGTAGTATAATTTTAGCGAATTATTGTTATAAATGGAACAAATAAATAAAAATAAAAACAATAAACTTCACAAAATTTATTATGTAAATAGATAAAGATATATGTAATTAAACTTGATAATATATCATGAATGGCGAAAAGAATATTTACAATTAAATAATATTTTTAAGATAAAATTTTAAGAATACTTTACACTAAAATAACATCAAGTGTATAGTAATCAATCAAGAGAATATTTTATAATACTTATGATATGATTTTTGTTCAAATATATTAAAAACTTATCAATTAGTATAGTAATATCAATACCTTTAATTACAATAATATTTTCAATTCGATATATTGACATCGTACGACATACTTTTGCCTTTAAACTTCGAATATTAATGTTAACAGATCAATAAATATTACAAACACTAATACTGAATAATTAATTGAACTTTTTAGTCAGATATAAAAGTCAATGTGTGTATATAATTCTAAACTATTGTAAAGAATAACTTGATAAATAACTTAATAAATTAATTAATAAAATTCGAAATTAATTTCACAAGGAATACTGCATTTTACGTCAATGAGGTCGAAATATAAAGTAGATTAATGGAAATACTATTAAGTAGTGCGAATAAAAAATGAATTTAATCCATACTTTATTATTTGTAAATTTCGAAGGCCTTAGATTTTAATAATATTAAATATAATATTAAAAAGTGTTAAATATAAATATGTCAAAACTGTACATGTGAGTAATAAATTTATTAATTAATAAGCTTAATATAGGAAAAATTTTCTTTACTCCAAACATAACATAATCTAAACATTTTATCATATTCATAATAAATAATTGATTGCAGATTTTAATTAAATCATTCCTAAACTATAATATTGGATAATTATCACGTTAATATATAATATCCAATCAAATTCAATATTGTATATAAATATAAAATGATACAATTATAGTATAATGGGAATTCAATGAAATAATTGAGCTTAAATTTAAAATTAATTTCTAATTCTTGCTTTAATAAAAATAAATAAATAATATAAATAAATAAATAAAAAATTGAAGATAGAATTTAATGACATACTGATATTTAGTTCTGAAATGATCAGTTCTTTTTGCTTCATTAGAGTTTTAAGAAATAATAAAAATTATAATTAAACTACAAACATTTCTAATAAAATTTAATTTAATACTAATAATGTGTAAATAAATAATGGGTATTTTATTTGAATAAAAGAAGTTTTATTTATTATAATATTTTCTTAAAAAATATCGAAAATTGGGTATACAAATCATCAAAAACATTATTGTATAAACGATCCATAGGTTCTTGCATACACTCATATATATTTTATAAATTAAATTATTTAAATTATCTACAATACATTTAGAATATATTTTAAAATACTAGAAATTTTACTAATTTCGGTTTTAAATATTTTTTTAATGCAAAAATTTATAGTAACAATGTAATGATAATAAATTGTTAGAATATATAAATTATTAAAAATTTACCTAATGACTGTAAAATAAAACAGAAAAAATAAGAAATAAAAACATTAATCAATTTAAATATAAGAATTCATATTTAACATATTAAAATATGTCAAAAAATGAAAAGGAAAAAAAAACACGTTAATAATGAAAAATCACTTTACTGAAGGGGAAAAAATAAAATACAAATGATTAAAAGTTAAGAAAATTGATCATAAGTGTACTTTTTAACATTTTATACTCTCCATATTCAATCGAAAATAAAACAAAAAAAAATTTAATAATATAATTTTTCTGACTACATAATGTACAACAAAATAAAAATATAACCTTTTTTATTATTCCTCGTATCAAACCATATAATCACAATAAATATATATATAAGAGTGGTAGTAACTATATAAAAATTTCTAAATATTTTAATGAAATTATTGAAATAAAATATTTCTGACTATCATAGAAATTAATTATTACTATTATTATTATGCTATATCTAGTAATTATATTATTAATCTATCATCGCTTATTTTACAAAGCGTTCTTGTAATTCTTATTAAAGTACAGAAAGCTTTTCTGGGAAATAAGAATTATAATAGTTATCACTACTATGACCTTTATTCAAAATAGTGAAATTATTAAATGATGTTAAAAAACGCCAACAATATGTTTAACTTAATTAGAGCATTCATGATCACTTTGATTGAAATTATATTTTATGTCATTCTCAAAAACTTTCAAATAGTGTGTAGCTCTTTTCTTGAAATTAAAGCTTTATCTGGTAAAGCTCTTCCTTGGAATCTATTACATCCAGTAAACTTCTAAATTAAAATTATAAAGCCAACCTTGTATTTATATTCTTTTAGATTTATATGTGTAAATATTACAATACCAGTTATATCGTTAAGATAAAGATGCCAATAAATGATAATTTCATAATAAATTAAATTACCTGAAATCAGCATTGTTATATCATTTAATTATTGAATTTAATTTCTATTCATAATATATTATGTTATTAAATATTAATTTCAATTACAATTGGCTTATCTTTACACGACAACTATATAAGTAAATTAAACATAACTAAACAAATCTACACTATATATGTTTTATAATACTCATATCTATACTCATGAAATTCATGGAAAGAAATATCGATTAATTTTAAGCTGCTAACAAAAAATCATTATACTTTTTTAACTATAAAGTCTTTAACAAAAATATAATAAATTATTTAGTATTTACGATTTTAAAATTTTATAAAAATATAACGATAGATTTTCTTTCGATTTTATTATTTATTCGTATATAATGATTTTTTTATTTATAAAAATTCGAATATTGTTGAATTCTTTCATTACTTTAAATATTGCATATTCTATTAAAAATTATGATATTTTAATTGAAGTTTAAGCTACATAATATAAAAATAAATATACATACAATAAATGAAATAAAAATGTAACATGATAATTTTCAAACAATAACTACATATTTAAAATTTATTGTTTTATACCTTATATCAATTAATTACATACAAAAAAACAATAGTAATTAAAAATAAAAGAATTCTATATTTTTTTTATTGTTCTTTGCAATATAAAAACTAAAATGAATGCTCCAGCTCTTATGATTTTCACGATGTATCAAATAAACTTTTAGTTTTCAGATTTTAAAAGAAAAATTAAAAGTTATTTTCTTCTATGACCCTTCATGATCAACTACTTATAAATACTTCGAATATCATGAATCAATTTAATTTTAATTACAAATTTTTTATAAAAATTTCAATTTATCATTTTTCGCTTATCCTAAGACAATTTGAATATATTTGATATAATTTTGAAATATTTGAAGAAAAAAAAAACAATATTTTCGGCATAGCAAATAATATCAGTAAAAATATCTGCATTTAATTTCACAATTACGTTTATTGTATAATTATAGAAAGACAAAATTACAAATTACTCTATTCATACTTCAAACTTAATTTTTTCAATTTATGTTAGATACGGTTATCAATTTGTTTTACATTTTCACACACAAGGAGTACAGTTGAAACAATAACTATTTTATAAAACAATTCTATTGCATATGAGACATGCTATACTTTAAAAACAAAACATTCAGAGATATAGTACTTTTAATAATTAATTTGTAGATAGACATATGGTTAAAATACATAGCTTGTTTATACTATATTAAAGGACGGACACTTCTTTCTTATTATATTATTATTAAAACTACGATGAACTTGTAAAACGTTAGGAAGATTTTGGATAAATTATACAATATAAGGTTGAAGAAATTCATAAATTTCTAACATCTAGTTTAAAACATAGAAACTCAATGGTAAATTCAAATTAGAAAAGCATAATTTTCGCAGGTCTTTAATGATATATAATAGAAGAATGATGATTAATAAGATATATAATAGAAAATAGAAATAATTTGTATTATATGATTACTGTATTGTATTGTTTGATCGACTGATTATCCGACTTGTAATACCTTATAGAAACACTAGAGTTTATTATCAGACACATATTTTTAGACATCAACTACATTTTACATATAAAATATGATATCTAAATATCTAAATGTTCGGCAATTAGATTAATCTAGCATTTTTAGTTAATGGAAAGTATATTTTACAAATGGAGTTTTAAAAATTATAACTAAATTAAAAATATTTTTGAGCGTGCAAAACAAGAAATCGCTTACTTTCATTTCCTTATAATTAATATTTAATAAACTGAGTTTTATATGTTATGAATAGTACTGATAAATATTAACCGAAATTTAACCTACCGTTACATAATTTCAAAAATAGTTAATTACATTACATTGTTTCATAATCGACAAACTATATTATATATTTCTTATTATTACTTATTATTACTTATTATTATTACTTATTACTTATTACTTATTATTATATATTTCTATAAATATTTAATAAAACCTAAGCTATACAGTAGCATTTAATTTATTGACATGCCGTCTTATTTGATATTAAATTCTAAATATGTCATTTTTTTATTGTCTCTCGATGCTATATATAATTACTTTATATTCAATGTACGGAGTGAAAGTGACACATCTTTCGTCGTTCATACAATAGATCGTTAAGGCGACGACGTGGCCTGTGCGACGGCTATCGGAACTATCCTGGTCCAGCAATAGCGGGGATGATCTTCAAGTCAGATGAAGACGCGGAGGCCAGCAATGAGAAGTACGAGACCTATGTGAGCGCAGACGGCGAAGGTCGCGAGGGTCGAGGCTGCATTCGGGTATGAGTATACACTGTCGTAGATGCTCAGCCAAGGCTGCCACGTGTAGTTCCAGCGTCGTGGATCCGCCATGTAGTCAACTGGGAGTTGGAGTTGGCGCACCAATACGTTACCATACTTTTCCAGATACAAATTCAGCTCAGACACCCACTGCGAATGTATTTTTATTTAATAAACACTACTTATGATTTACATTTTTTTAAACAGACCCAGTTTAAATGACTGTAATAATGTCATGACTTTTCGAGGCTTCTGTTTAATGTATAAAATAAGTATATAAGTAAGTAATATTTATTAGATACTTAAAGTGTATTAAAAATTTTTAAAACTATTTATATATAATTTTTATATATCCATAATAGATCAGAAATTTTAAATAAAAAAAGGAAATAATCTAAGAAATCAAATCTATCACATTTGAATAAGCATTAAGATTTTTAAAGACTTGAAATTTTAAATATGAATTGAATTCTAAAATCAACAATATTATTAGCCATATCGAATAAAATAATAACTTCCTATGATCTCATTCAAGTTGATCGAGATAAATAAAATAACTTGCCCTGGGAAAATTCTTGGCGATATTATTGGTTTCGCAGGGATCGATACTGAGATCAAAGAGGCACTCGGTCTCATTGCACGAGGCGAAGTTGTAGCGATTGGTGTAGTGAAGGTTCGTCATATTTGGTCGACACTGGACCGTCGCCTGGCTCTGAAGTTGCCACATGGCGCTCTCTTGCGTCACAGGAACACCAAGGTGTTCACGAATTGCGTCCGAGACAGCGCTCTTTAGTATCTTCGTCGTGTTGTAAAGTGGGGCGTTGCGGCCTCGACCCGTTTCACCCTCCACATTGTCATAGTAGCCCCTGAACAACGATCCTGAAATATATTTGAGAGATGACGACGACCGTGACTTTTTATTTCCGATAATCCTAATGTCGGAAATCACATGCCACTATTCGTAACTATTAATAACCATATTCCCTTTCTCGATAATAAATTATATTACGTTTTTGGATTCATTAACAGGATAAGATATTGAATTTATTTAACATTTTTTATTGTGCTGTATATATTTCGTGCTATTTTAAAAATAATTATATAACGCTTTAAAAGACGATATAATTTCACCAATTAATTTAACATCTCTTATCTAATATTTATTTATTCCTTAAAAAAAACATTATACTTTACGCGAGACCTTCAAAATTTATTTTTATATTTTTTTCCAATTCCTGTTATTGGAAAATTTTACGGATTAATTATGTTTTCGAACCGATATTTATATGACAATTTATATGACAATTATATGACAATTATATGACTTATATTTAAGTTTTAAAGCATTGCAATAATATTTATTGTTTACTTTATTAGAATAAAGTCTGTTTAAAATTAAATAATTATGAAAGTATTATTATAAGTTTTAATAAATCACTAGCTCATGTTGAAATTGATTTATTAATGTTATTATTATTGATGTTGATGTTGTAGTCGTCATTGTCATTGCCATTGTTATTATTGTGATTATTTTTTTCTTATTACCTCTGCAGCTGCTGCTGCTTCTGCTGCTGCCATTGTTATTACTATAATCATCGGCATTAACATTAATATTAAAATAATCATCATTTAACCCAAGGGAAGAAAAATTAACAAAGTTAACAATACCAATAATGTTTACTACTACAACTGCAACTCCTATAAGTTAAACGTGTTCCCAAGTATTAAAAAAAGTATAAACGCATGAGTGCCACCAACGAATGAAATCAAATGAAGTCAAATGAACTTTATACCTCGAACAAGTTTGAAACGTTGGTAAATGGCGGCTTCGGTTTTCGTAGCCTCGTCAATATTCAAGAGCAACCTATCACGAACATTCCCAGTACCAATACTAAGGACATCCCATTGGTTAACGCCGTCGATGGGCCCCAGATCCCGTAAGTCGCCACCCGCAGCTGAGTATAACGTCGGTAGCCAGTCCACCACGTGGAAAAGTTGTTCCGAGACTCGACCCTTGCTTAGCAACTTCGGCGACCAGATTGCTGCCGCCCCTCGTACTCCACCTTCGAATAGTGTATACTTCGTCTGAAAAGTTTATCGTTTTTTATGGACATGCTCGGCTGGGCATTTCTTCGATTCTTTTAATATGTATTCGAATTATTTCCAAACGTCGTCAATCTATTAATTTATATTCTAATACGGTTTTAACGACACGTATTCAGAAAAAGTGACTTATTAAATTATATGAATAACTATTTGAATAATGCACAGTTTTTTAGTGCCATATTATTATAGTAACACGAGTTAGTTGCCTAAATGAATTAAAATCAAGATTGATCAAAATTCGACAAAAGATGATAAATATTTTGATATTAACTAATTGTAAAACTCGTTTAATGCATAAAATTTTAAATGTAACTAATAGTATAATACTACTGATAGTAAATACAAATGTTTGACAATAAGAAAGATATTATTTTATATGGATAAAAGTATTTTACTCACTCCTCTGAGAGGCCAATTAGATCCCCAATTTCGAAATTTGCCGATTGGTGCTCCTCCATTATCAGACAAAAATACAATCACAGAATTTTTTAACATGCCTCTATCACCTAAAGATGAGACGATCCGACCCAATGATTCATCTAATCTCGCTACCATTTCTTTATAAAAAAATTTAGAGCATTAATTTCTGAATGTAATGAATAATTAAAAACTAAATCATCTTAATTTATAAATAATTTATAGTATCTTAACAATTATATAAATATCTATATTAATTAATAAGATAGATAATATAACAATATAATATTATTAATATAATTATAATTTACAATGCTTAGAATATATGTACGTGAAGTGCCTTTAAAATTAAAAAAAAATTTTTTATTATAATTTATTTTTTATTATAAAAATGTATAAAAGTTTAATAAATTACCTATATAACTTGGTAATAATTTTTATGCATAACACACACGCGCTCGCGCGCGCACACACACATTTATACATGCATGCATTAATACATGCATGAGTATTAATATATTGTAATGGAAAAAATAATAGCTATCTTAACTACGTAAATTATTGGTTAGTAATGTTGCCGTAAAGGAAATAGGATAAATTTTGAGTCATTGTCATTATTTTTACACAACGTTCAAAAGAAGTTGCTTAAGTTTGACATACGAAAAACAAGACCATCAGTTATTAAGTTCACAATACCGCTAAAAGAGATATTAGAGATTTTAGAGACTTCTTCACATCCTATAAAATATAAATAACTCCGATGAGCCCTAAAAACGTGAATACGTATATATATATATACACACACATATGAGTTTTAAGTACGTACGTAGTACATTAAGGTATTTACTGTAAAAAGTTTAATAACTCTAAACATAATTATCGCTTAATTATTATCATAGGTGAAATTTAATAATAATTCAATCGAGTATTATTTATTAACATCACGTTTATTTAAAAATAATTTACGACGTTACAATGTGCCTTGATTGAGATAATTGACGTTCTTAATGTATTAAAAAGTTGTATAATTATTAATTTCGATTATTAGTGAATAAATAGCATTTATGATTTATTAAAAAATGAACAAATTATCGGTTATACTTTAAGAAACTAAAACTTATGTTTGAAAATAATTTCACGATATAACTCTAAGCGCTTAACATTTGTTCTGTTTCGTGTTATAAGAATAAAAATAATTATTTCTTTAACCGAGTTTGGAATTAAAGAATGATATTTAATGATATTTTTAAGCGCGTATAATACGCACATATAATACTTATTATTGCATGTGATTTTATATTCGCGAGAATGTGCAAAAATTAAAAAGAAAATTATTTTAGCCCGTACATAATCTCTCTTGTATTACTCAATTTTTAGAGTTATACATCTTGCATACAGAATAATCCATAATGTTAAATTTAGGCATACATCACGCGCGGAAAAACTCACTTGCGTAGGCTCGACGATTGGGATCAGAAATGTGCCTAAATTCGTCGTCGTAATCATTCTCGTAAGGCACATCCAAGGGCGCGTGTGGTGCCAAATGGGAGACCTGGAGGTAGAGCGGTCTCAAAGGATCGTGTTTGCTGATTAAGTCAACGGCACTCGAGGTAAATAAGTCCGTCGCATATTGACCCTCACTTCCATATGCCGGACTGTCGTTCGAGTGCATATCGAAGCCCGACATGTTCTGCTAAACGTTTAAATTCCAATTAGCCCGTAAAAGCTCTACGCCAACTCATCCCTTGCAAATTTCATCAATAACCAATTATCTTATGAATCAAATGGCACCGACCATCGCGTTAAAAGTTATATAAAAATTAATTTTATTGATTTCTTATTGACGCACATTAACAGTTGGATGCCAGTATCAATTATAAATTAATGATTATACGAAAACTTTATACGTCTAAATATCTTAAATATCGAGAGTCTGTATAAGTAGATAAGCAAGAAAGAAAAATATTGATACAGCTGAATTAATAAAATCTTAACAAATTAAGTTTATTTAATAATAAAATAATACCAAAAATTTACATTCGCTGATTTAACTTCTCGTGGAAAGTGAAAATTATTCGTTGGGCAGCGAGAATAACCCATGTTTTCATAAACCTTAAAGAAGAACTATGTTTTAATACTTTCAATTTGTGTTCAAAGATAAAATGAAATGCAATATAAAAAAAAATATATAATAAATAAAAAAATAAGCAAGTCGAAGATCGTAAGAATGAAAAATAAAGCGACGGCTCACCCCTTGAGTGTACCGGTAGTCGTAATATCCAATGTAGCTATTGTAAAACCCAAGGAAAAAGTCGAAGCCTCGATGATTGGGCGTATGCTGGGGGGTGTGGTATCCGACATGCCATTTCCCCACAAGTTTTGTGTCATATCCCAGACCCTGCAAGTACTCCGGTAAAATACGCACATTCAACGGAAGTCCCCGAGGCTCTCCACCCAGTATACCAGCTCCTTGCATTCCTGATCACGATTAAAAGAAATATATTTTTTTAATTATTTAGATATTATTATGCGTCTTTAACTCATTAAATTCCAACTATAAATCGTGTACTTTAATAATGGTCCCATTTATAATTAGATCCATTATGATTGCGTTTTATTATTTTGCATTTATTCACGAACATAATTCATAATAAACGTTTAGAAATTCATCTTTTTTATAATTATACTTAAAAAATACTTGAAACATTTAAAGGAAAAGCTTTGATTTTTTTTTTTTTTTTTTTGTTATTCAAATGAAAAGAATTTTATTTTTTTTCGATAATTGACTTAATATGCGTAAGTATCGATTGATTATAGTCGACTGATTGAAAGTGTAGCGTTGCCAATACGACGTACCCATTCTAATGGGATATTTTCCTGATAGGAAAGCCGTCCTCGTTGGCGTGCACGATGGTTGAACATAATGCCTGTTCAAAATGATTCCATTATAAGCCAAAGCATCGATGTTCGGTGTAGGAATTTGAGTCGAGCCATGGAAGCCCACATCGTTCCATCCCTATGTCAACGCAAAGTCAAGAATTATAAAATATCGAAATGACGTTGTTTTCTTTTCAATTTAAATCATTTTCAAAGATTTTAATTTCACGCGCCACAAACAATTATATATGAAATTTTATTTTATACAATTTTTTGAGCATCTAACTACAGTCTACTAAAGGAAAAATAGAGATGTACAATAATCGCCGAATAATATCTACATATTTATACAGAATTTAAATTGATATTTATGAGAAAATTGTTGGCACATTTATCTATTTACTTTGCTATAACTATATAAATAAATTCAATGGACGAAGTATGATAAAGAACAGACTAGACTAGTTTATAATGATTATATAAATATTTTCTTCTTTGCTCGAATGTATATATAAGTAAATGTAAATTTTTTTTTATTAAATTTCACGAATGAAATTAATCGTCAAATGCTTGAAATTGTAATTACCGTTTTCGAGTTGTGAAAAACATAGAAAGGTAAAAAGTTACTAGAAATCGAAGCATTTAATAAATGGTATCATAGTGTAGAAAAATATTTGTCCAACAGTAGTCTGCTTATTTATAAAGATTAAAGATCCAATATTCGCTAGAAACGCTAAAAAAAACAAGTTTTTATGAAGTAGCGGAATTCGTGAGGATAGAAGACGGGTAAAGCGAACTTTTGAGACAATTTGAAAGTCGTTTGAAAGAGATAAAAAGAGAAAAGAAATACCGCCCCGTGCTGATTGTCGTACATTTTGGATGGAATTTTATTTGTTTGCCGGTCGACGTGAGTCATAAGGCAGCGTATGGGTGGACGGGGACTACATCCTCCTTTGTGCGGAGGCGGAGACAACGCGTTAGCCTTTGTAATTGTCTCAACTAATGACTGCATTAATTCAAGACGAGCTCCTCCCGGTACAGCGATGCTATTACATTAGATTAAGTATTATGGAAAAAAGCAAGGCGGAAATAACAGCCACGTACGCTTCCAACTATTACTCTGGTTATTCATCCTCTGCTTCCCTCTCTACCTCTCTGCCACTCTCTCTCTCTCTCTCTCTCTCTCTCTCTCTCTCTCTCTCTCGCCCATTATCCTCTCTCACATCATTTTATCTAATTAAATGTTAAACTGCTCTTCATTAAACCGACTGACCTGACTAATAAGTCACTGTTTTATTTCACTTTTGCAGATAAAAAAGAGCTGCTTTTGTAAACTTGTCGAATAAGACGTTCATACGTGCTAATCTCTACTCACTGTAAAAACTTTAAAAATCATTACGTCAATTATGTTAGCCATTATTGTTTTCCACAGCTTCTACATTTTTACATTAAGAATATTAATGTGCCACGCTGATTTTAATAGTCACAATAAACGAATGATCAACTGTCTCCCTTCGAATCTTTTATACCTCTAGCTATTAGCTTATAATACGATTACTAAGCCAAACGTATTCTTTTTGAAATAAGAAACGATGCACATTCAAACGAAACGAATCAGTTATCAATGCAAGTGTATGGGGCAACGCTACCGTACCATCCATCACGATTTTATTACTGAAATCCGATTTCGCTGATCGGTTGAAAAATACATTGGATAGAAAAGTGAAGCTAAGAGGAAATAAATTGGGCGTCGAGAAGTAGCGCAATGAAAAAAATTCAAACGAGAGACTTGGCATGACGCTCTTAACATTGATAAAGCGCATCCAGTTTATCTCATCAGTTCATTAGCGAGGGCAGAATAATAACGGAGCAGCGTCCGGAGGGTCGAAAAAATGAACACGGACAATCGAACCGATGCGAATTCACATTTCGGCGCATCACTCACCAAGTCGTCAGCCATAAAGACGATGATGTGCGGCGGCGAGTCGAATTGTCCCATCGTCGGACCGACGAGGACTGCTATTCCAAGCAATGCCGCGTACCCACGCATCCTCGAGATAATCCTTGACTTCTTGCTTGCTGGCAACCACTCGCTCACGCGGTTCACATCTGCCCTAATCCTGCGACAAATTAATCTACGTTCATAACCAGGCACGTTACGGCTTTTCTTCAATGACTATAGAGATCAGTTAATACCTCTTTCAAGAATATCAATATTTTACGAAAAATTAACAATTTGGACTCGGACCAAACAAAATTAATGCAATATAATACTCAGTACCACTGTTAATTTATGTAAATGCATGCAAAACTATCTTTAATATCTTGGATCTATTCATATCTGCTCCGAATTAAATTATTTATCAATATTTATCATAATTTATCAAATTATTCACTGCAATGACTAACTAATCATTAAAATTTCATCTAATAGATTATCTGTTAAAATTTACCCTCATCTTCTTTGAAATATTTGTTTTCAAATTACAGTGTTTATCTAAATTTATATAAGATATTTATTAATTAAAATATTATTTATTAATGCAGATAAACAAACTACTAACTATTATTAGACTCATATGTTAATTATATAAAATTATTAGTTTTATAAGATAAAAAATAACATTCGCCTGTTTTTGTTGTTTATGATAATAATAAGCGAATAATGAAATTTTGCAACTTGATGTTATGAAATTATATTAGAATTATTCAGAAAAGAGCGAAAGTAATGCAATGCAAGTGAATAACTAGCCTTACCTTTAAGTTCATCTATCGGTCAATTTCAGCTACTTTTTTTACGATTTTAAATAAACATAATTTACATAAGAGAGGGATTCGATCTGATGTCGCGCAGCAATATTTACGCATTGTAAATACATAGATAAAAATTATAATTCGATCTGCGATTACATTAAACAATGCTTATTAGATATACGAACAGAGCGACGCTGAACTTTACCAAGCTGCTCATCGCATAACAAAAGAAAATATTTTCTAAATTTAAATCTACATCGCTAATAGATATTAAGGTGCTTACCAATCACTGAAGGCGCAGGTATAGTGAAGTACAACAGCAGCTCTCGTAGAGTAGAAAGAAAAAAGAGGAAGTTAGCGCATCTCTATCGGCGGTCCCCCAGACAGAGAAGCCTCGCGGCATATTAGGCGAGCTTTATATAGGGGCCGGGGCTCGACGACGCCGACGAATAGGCTGGGGAAGGCCACCGATTGCACTTAATGAGTCCCGGCGCTCGCCACGCGACGCCCCGGTCAATCGACCGCTACTTTTTCTCGAGACGACGGCGCCCGTGGAGTTCCACCGGAGCCGTAAGGCACTCTTTATAGGCGCGAGAGTTACAATTGAAATTTGAATTGAGCTTGAGAATTGAATTAGATGGGAGTCACGATCCTTTGGAGTAACGGCTATGCGCGAACGATACACTCCTTTAATCTCATTGATTGACTTTGGTATAATTTCATTGGCATTATTTTTATTCCGACGAATAATTAAGCATTTCTAATCCGCTAATCTGGAATCCCCATGTTTGGCTCGCGCATCTTTTCAAGGGCGTAGTATGAAATATGCGTAATAATGAAAATCATTCTTGCCGATTATTGCAAAACTAGAGCGATTATAAATACTGGAGACATATAATAATGATAAACAAATATAAGTTATAAGTTAATAATAAACACATATTTACATGTTGAAAGCTGATTCTTTAACGAATGTAGCTAGTAAAATAAAATAAAATTTGTTTATCATTATCACGAATTTTCTAACATCAATAATAATTATGAACTGGAATAAATTATAGGCTTTTGTGTAGGTGTTAAATATAAATAGTAATTTTTAATTCCATGCTCGTTTTTAATTTAAGTATATATGCCATATTTGCCTTTGTCCTTAAGTTTATGTAATATTTATAGTTACATTTATATTCAATTCAAGGTAAATCAATAGCTTTATAATAATATCTACAATATTCAAAACATATTATTTCTGCAAATGTAAATGATTAATAATGATAATTAAAATTAAATGTTTCATTGAAATGAAATATATTCAATATATATATATATGAATTTTGTAATATAACAACAAAGCAATATATATTTATATATATATATATATATATATATGCATATAGTAACTATAGTTGTCAAGAGTTAGCTTATGCTATATTATGGTTGATCAATTATTATCTCAATACCAAATTATACAAAATTTGCAGGTTATAGATAAATGTAATAATAAATATGACAATACCATGAAATGAAAAATTCTATTTGCGTAATATGAATGCTTAATAATAACAAATTTAAAGAGTGTATATACTAAAACACTGTAAATATTAAAATGAATACTATGATGTAATTAATTAGCAAAGAAATATTTTTTGTAATTAAAGTAATTATGGGATTTTTTAATTAATGGTAATAAATTGTCACGTTAATTACAACAATATTTTATTTTTTCTAATAAATTTTTTGCAAAGAGATATAATTTAAAAAATTATATTTTCAATAATAACTTTTTGTTATTGACAAAAAATACCGTTTATAAGGATCATTAAAGAAAAAAAAATTATAGAAAAATATGTTTTATAATTATTTTTTAATAACTTTTAATACTAACATTTATAATGTTAAATTGTTATATCTTATATGAAAATTTTCTATTGCATATACAGAGTTTTTTATAAATCAGATTAATATTACAAACTTCGAAAATATGTGATTACATTTAATTTTGATGACATTTTACGGCCATAATATCTTGCTTATAACTATCAATTGATAGTCATATAAATTTCTACCTTATTTATGAGCTACCTTAGTAATTTAAAATTAAAAAAAGAAAAACAATTAATGTAGGGTTTGTCTATGCACACACATTCAACAAGGCGAAGGTAAGATTGCATACATTCACGCGTTCTCTTGAATATGAGCACCAAGAAAAATCGGGAAGTTAGCGTCAGCACTTTTAAAGTACATTCAAAGACATATATCAGTCATTGGTATCATCTTACAAAATTGACTAATCTAATTTAAAAAGGCGTTGATCAGAATTATTTCAGTTAACCACTACTATTGTCCCTGCTTCAATGAGAAATCGGAACTTTTCCGACATTATAAATGGACATTAAATAGTATGTGCAAACTTCATTTAATAAAATATATCTTAGTCATTAGAATGCTATATAAAGCAAGTTTCATCTTAACCTTTGTCTATGCTCAGGAAATTAATTTATTTCAAAATAATAATATCACGGTGTCACAATAAAACATTTTTAATTACAAAGTTTCGTATAAAATAATTATTATACTATTTCATCGTTGAAAAGATTTGTATATTTATTCAAATTTATATAATACTAAAATTATATAATAAAATTTTTATAAACCTGCTAAATAAATATAAATATGAATGAACAAAATAAAGTTCACTACTTATTCAAAAAAATCGTTGAGTCGTATTTGTTTGCTTCTTCTTGAACTGTCCAAAGACAAAATTTCTTTCATCTGAAAATATTCACAAAAATGCATTAATTATAATATAATAATATTAATTATAAAAACAGAAAAACTACGCTATACTTTGTTTTTGCAAAATTACTTGTGAAGTATCATTGTTAGAATTTCTCTGCTGATCGCTTACAAATGGTGATGATTGTTTCTGAACTTTTGATTTGGTTTGAATGGGTGAGCAAAAGTTTTCCATCATTTTTTCATAATTAAAATCACCTTCTTCTGAATTCAAATCTGAATCTATAAATCAACGTAATTTATGACGTAAAAAAACAATTTTTAAATAAAATCTTGTAGTAAAATAAAAATATTATAACATTATAATTTTTATTATTATTATTAAATATAAGAAACATTAAAAAATTTGAATTAGGATTTAGAGTTATGCATTTAATGGAATGCTTTTCTGCCGATGAAATCTATTTTATATATAAATTAATTAAACCAATAAATCATAAATTCTTAAAGTAATTAAAAATTAAAATAAAATAATTCATATCGAATTAGTAAATTATTTCTAATATTTTTTTATCGGACATACTATTTATATATTTAACTATTATCTTTATAAAATACTAACTTTATGAAAATGTGAAAAATATCCAATACATATATGAAAATTCATAATTTAAAAAAAATATACAAACTGTTAAAGGAACATTATGAATGTATCACTTTAACATTCAAATGAATGTGAGCTGTATGAATAATGTAAATTTAACAATTAATGCGTAGAAAAATGTATTATTGAGATGTGTGTGGGGGAGGAGGTGTTGTACGCGCGTAATCGGGCGCGCGTGCGCGAAATCACTGTTCACTTCAGTTTCATCACAATGCACTTCAGTTTCATTTAAATGAAAGAAAAAAAATATTTTGAAGTATAAGTATGCAACTTTCAATTTACTTCTTTATATTTATTCGTACGAAACTTCATTTATATTAAAATTGTTACTTAAAAAACTTTTCATCTAATATTTTACATAATTTTTTATGAAGCATTGAAAACAAAAATTTACTTAAATACTCGAGAAACTCAAATGTATTAAAAATTATATATAAAGATAACTACATATAACATCTGGAAAATAATATTTTAAGGCAGTTTGAAGATAAGTAGCAAATCGCACCTGCATACAAACGCCTGGCCAATTCAAAGCTGCCGCCGGGTTCAGTGATCTCACTTCCAAGAATAGCTGATATATTATCTATGCTCAGATCGACTGAGTGCAAAGTCGTAGATATTATACTAGTCGTAGGGATATTCATAGGTGTGGAGTTTGTAATCGACTGGTCTCCGAGAGGGAAGTCGCCCACACTGGGCTGTTGAGTTCCTAGCGTCATCGATGTCTGTGACGTTTCCATGGGAATAGCTGCCTTCATCTGAACATGTCCTTGCATTTCTTTCATCTACTAGACCATGATATGTTAATTTTGTTGAACAGTCTAACAGTCTTAAGACTCCCATGACTTTGCCGTTATATGGAAATTATATATCAGTAATTTATGTAATTGCATAAAAATAATTATTGCATCGTATATAAAGTTAACGAGATTAACCATGGGAATAATTTATTCTAAACTTTTGAGTCACCAACGAAACATCTTTACCGAATAAAATTTTTTATAATGATACAATATCACTATAATCACGGAACCACTATAAAATAAATGAAACTATAGTTTAAAGTACAATTATGCATTCTCATGTGCATTTCAATATTGTTTATAAATTGTAACTAATATGCATTAAATCTAAACGTTATCTTATTATATTCAATCTTATATTAAAACTTTATTCTGCTGAAAAATGTAATATTTATTTTAATTTAGAAATTTCTCTTCCCATTTATTAACCAAATGTTTTATTACAAACAGAATTTATTAATTTAGAAATTATTACTTATCGTTGATACAAAAAATTACTGATTTTCAATAAATACTACATTTTTCAAAAGATTCATTTCAGTCATTTAAATATTTTTTTAATATAAAATTATTACAATAAGAACTCAACAACTTCTAAATATATTGAACTCTAAAGAAAAAATTAAAAACACTAATTAAAATAAATAAACCAGTAATAAAAATGTATTTGCTAAGTAATATTTTGCATAAATTAAATTATGACTTCAATTATTTCTTGTATGCTAATAATTAAGCTCTTTTAATTGAAAAACAAAAACATAATAATACAGTAATTGTAGAATATTCTTCACGTAAATAATGTAGCTTTAGAAAATATATAATCATTAAATTCACTTTGATATTATTTGTATTTAATTTAAATATTATTACATTATCATTAAAAGAATATTTTTTCAATATAATAATACAAAATAATTGTTATTTGATAATTATTATATATTTTTATAATTATTATGATTATTAATGAAGAAATTAAAACTAAAACTATATTTAATTCACTTATATATGAAATTAAAGTCAATGTAAATATTTTAATTATAATCAATGTAAAAGAGGAAAATTAAACGCTATATTGAATATTCTTTAATATATTTGAACTATTTTTCAATTAGATTAAATAATGATTTTTAACAGATCAATTGATTTATCTGTATATATTAAACAAAATTTCGTCTACGTTGAAACAACTTAAAAACACTCATAAATATTTGATTTAGTCAATTTTTAATTTTAAACTTTTCTTAAAATGACGATAATGGATATCAAAAGACCTTGTAATTTGATTAACGTATTATTGCAACGAGCATATATTTATCTTCGTACATTCCAAGATCTAATTACTAAAGTAGGCTATTCTTAAAAAGTATATCAATATAAACTTAAATTTTTTTTGTAAATAGTATTAAGATTAACTAACACTAGTTTAATTAGCTATCTTGTGAATCTTTTTACTAACAATATTAATATCGCAGTGAAATATTATTAATTTTAAATAAAATTATACATTTAAGAAATATTGAAGAATATAAATACAACTTGTTTGCCTACCTGAAACTGCATTTGCAGATTTGGATAGTTCACAACTTCACACTTTTTAATCTGCGGTTTATTGGCTAAAGGAAGTAACGTCAAATCTCTAATAAAATCCGATGTTTCCAAATTCGGCTTCGGTAAGAATTGTTGTTGCTGATAGTGTCGATGATGCTGCACCTGTTGTTCTTGATGTTGATTCTTTTGTAAGTACTGCTGTTGTTCTTGACGTTTATTGTACTGCGGATAATGTTGTTGATGCTGTTGCTGTTGTTGTTGATGCTGCTCCTGTTGCTCTTGATGCTGCAGATACTGCTGGCTTTGATATTGTTGATTATTCTGCAAATGTTGTTTTTGATTTTGTTGTTCATAAAGTTGGTTCTGGTATTGCCTTTTGCTAAGTTGTTGTTGTTGATGAAATTTCTGATTCTGTGGCTCTTGCTTCTGTTGTTGATGTTGTTCCATTTTCTCTTCTGGTAAGCATTTTGCGATCTTTGCCGGAGAAGGTATAGGACGATCCGTTAAATTATTAACTTTCGAACTCTCTACGTGCTGTCTTTCATCCATAAGAGAAAAAGAAGTCGATACTTCATCCTTATGTGATTGATATTGATTAACTGAAAAACAAAATTAAATTTCAAAATATAATTATAATTGTAAGTTTTAGTTCAATAATATTTATAACTTATATATATAAATATACTTGTAAAAAATACTGTGAAAATCAATGATTTTATAAAATTAAAAAAAAAAATATATTAATTAATATTTAGATCAGTTACTTTTACTAATTATGTTATAAATTTATATCTACATATCTATAATTATATTTTTCTACAAAAAAGAATTTTTATTTATTATCTATGACAATATTTAATTATTTCATGAAAAGTAAAATATTTATTTTCTTTCAACTTTCATTTGGTAATCTTTTAATAATGTTATTTAAAGGTATAAATTCTTATAATTTTTGGGAAGCTTTACGGTGACTTAAACCTAACAAAAAAATACTAAATGTATTTTTATACTTTTATTAAAATTTACTTATAACTTTTTAAATATTTTTAACCATTTTATGCATTTAAAAACAAATATTTGTTTACCATTTTTTTTAATTATTAAATTATATGTAATACCGATAATAAAATTCTAGATATATAATAATGTTTTATATTATAATGTATTGCATACGGTATATAGTAGTATCTTCCATGTTAATTTTGTAAACTAAATAATAATATGTAACATTGTAAAAGCATTATTTTTTAAATAGTTATTTTAATAAATATATAACTTAAATTTATAAATTAAATTGGCGGAATATTTAATTTATCTATATATAATATTTAATTTAATTTTTACAAACGCATAATATCATAATTTAAACCAAACGAAACCTTATCGAAAAATTACAAAATAAATTGAAATTAAATAAATAATATAATGGAAAAGAAATAAAATTATATATATGTTTAAATCCACTTGTATTTATTGAAAATAATTTATATACAACTTGTCACCTCTTCGATTTGGCGTATTTCTATCATTTGAATGATTAAAATCTTGTTCAATTTCATGATTCGAAGATTTCTTTATCTGGAATCAAATAATTTCAAGTGGAACTATATAATATAAAATATTATTCATCTAAACTAAAATTAATTTTTATAATTATGATTTTGTAATTATTAATATATTATTATTGTTTATTATCAACAATAATTGAATATAAAAAATTATTATAAGCATTGTAAACTATATTATTCGTGAATTAATTATCATAAAATAATTTTAAATTTGAATAATAATTAATTCATATTGAACATTTAAATAATTTGAATGTATATATAGGTATATATATATATATATATATATATATAAATATCTTTTTAATTTACTTACAAGTGCAGTGCCGTGGATTTTTCGATCACATTCATGAACTCGTTTAAAGTTACATATTTTAGATGGTTGATTTAATTGATCTGATTTATGCGATTGAATATGTAACTTTTCAATATTAAATGATATATCATTAGAATCGCTTTTTATCCGACTGTCATACTTTTCTGTATTTTTTAAACCTTTTAATTTATTTGCCGTATTTGATTCTTTTAAAAGTATTTGTTCTTTAGAATTATCTAATTCCATTAAATTATCATCTAAATTACTTTCTTGACTTTTTTCTTTTATAATTATATTAAAAGAATAGATGACAATTAAATTATAATAATATAATAAACAAAATTGATATATAAATACATGTGTAAAAAATGATCATCTAATGAAAATAATTATTTTTATGTCCTGATATTACTTTGTAGATAATACGATAAAATAATAAAATTTATAATCAGAAATTGAATTGACTCAAGTTCAAAATAAAATTATAATATATTATTAATTTTTATATAAAGTAAAATTTAAAAAAAAAACAAATTTTGAAATGAATTCTTAATATTAGTCTTACTTCTACTAACCAATTTTTAACCTTTTTTTAAATATATATCAGAGTAATTTATTATTAAATTTAACAATTAAAATGAATAATAACTTAATTTTTTATTATTGAAGTTCATTATATAAATATATGAAAATAAAAATTAATCAGAATTATAATATATTACAAATAAAATTATTAATAATAACCCGTATCTTTTGGTTGTGTATCATTGCACCTTGATTCATCTGGAGAATTTGCGAATTGCTTTAACTGTTCATCATTTGTCATATATTCTTGTTCTAGCATGTAAGAATTTACAGAAAATGAATCTAAAAGTAAAAACGTACAAATATGAAGTATAAATTAAATTATGAAGTATAAATGATTAAATATTAAAATATACAGATGGTAAAATAATTTAATTTGTATAAGTAATAAACTTCAACGCACTTTTTTATAATAAAATTTGAAAATGTTGAATTTAAAACTTATTGTAATTTTATTTATTAAGTAATTTACTTGATTATTATTTTATAATCATTCTATCCTAATAAGAATCAAAGCAACAACATAATTAAATAAATGTAAAATTAAATAAAATAATTTTAAAATCCCTTTTATATAATGTATAATATGTATAATATATGATGTATAATCCCTTTTTACATATTTAATATAAATACATAAATTAATTTTAAGTTTCGTAAAATGTTTTATTATCAAAATAGCTAATAATGAGTTATATATATATATATTTTATATATATATATATATATATATATATATATATATTAATTCAAAATGAATATTCATTATATTTAATTATATTTTAATTATATTTAATATATATTTATTTAATTAATTATATTATTAAAGTAATTGTAAATGTAAATGATCTTTGGTTTGGAAAGATCTACTATATTAAATATTATTGCTTTTAATATAAAAATATTCTAATCTTTTTATTTCAATAAAAATAAATCTTAATTCAAATTAAATACCTACCCATATTATCATAGTTTGTGTTTCTATGAATAATGAAACGAGACAAATCTACTTGTGGCAGTTGTTGTGGTTTAATTGATGTCTGTTTAACAGTCAAATTTAAATTTTCGATTTCCTTTGGTTGCAATTCTAAATAATTAACCTTTAATAAAAATTTTTTTTATATTTTTTAAAATTTATAGGTGGTCAATACAAATATTTTGTTGGATTTAATAAAAAACACGAACTTCCAATCGTAATTCCCGTTCTTTAATTTTAAGTTTATTCAACTTTTCCATTGATTCACAGCAACGTTTCTCTCTTATTTTATGTTCTATGAATAATTTTGCCAATTCTATTATTTTAACTTGTTCTATTCTTTTATCAATGTTTTCTTTTATTCTAATATTACGATGAATTTCATTTATTTTGAAATAAACTATTTTATTTTGAATCGTCATTTTCAACAATCGGAACTCTGCTTTTTGTTTCTCCTTAGCTAATGGCAATTGTTCATACTCTTTCTATTAAAAAATAAATATAATTTAGTTTACTTTATTAAAATATGTTGCAATAAATTAATATGTTTAGAATGCATATTAATAAAAGACAATTATATATTATAGTTCATAAGAAGTATTTAGTATTAAGACCTGATATTTCGCCCAAACTTTCTGTTGTTCCTGTAGCATAGTTTCATATTTTCCTATTATAGCAAGTTGTTTTATCGATTCACTGTCTTCCATTTTTTTAGCCGATTCAAGTTTTATATTAACAATTTTCTCATATTCATCCAATCTTTCTAACGTTACAATATGAGTAGCCTCCCTTTTTATAGCTTCATCAAGTTTAGTTTTAAGATCTCGCCTAGTTCGTAATTCACTTCTAATTTTTTCTTTTATAATCTTAATTTTATTTTCATAAACTCAAGTAAATAAAATAAAATAATAAATTTAATCTTATCAATTTATATTTATTAATTGAATTTTATTGATTGATTACTTACTAGTAATTTGTTCTATGATCTGTTCATCATGAAGCCCTTCCATTTTGTTATTTGTTTAAACTTAATTTAATAACAAAATCTGTTAAATTCTCAAATATTTAAAAATTAGTCTTTATAAATACTAATAAATTAAATATGTAAATAAATTTTTTGAAATTACTTAATATTACCTGATTAAACTGTATAAAATAACATTAATTAGATTTTGAATTTATAATAATTAAATTGATATAAGTGTTTGTTTGCCAAATTTTTTTCTAACTTTTTAAAATGGAAATATTTTTTAAAAAGAATTAAACCGATTGGTATTAAATTACAAATAAAATTAACATATTAATATTTATAATTAAGATATATTTGTTAAATATTGTACATTTAAAAAAATTTTATTATCGAATAATTTATCGCTTTTCTCACAAAATCCTCTATTTCTCATACCATTCGAACTGTTCGTTACAAAATCGTTAAATATATATAAACAAAGATGAAATTAGGAAGTTTAAAAAATTTTTCATTATATTTTTATGTAATACCTAAAATACTATTGTAAATGATAATAATTTTATTAAATTATTATATAATTATTGTATAATAATTTTACATGCGTGTGAAAATATTTATATACACGCATATTAATGTGCGTACGTTTGAGCGAATCTATATACATATGTATATATATATATATATATATATATATATATATATATATAGATATATGGTGTGTGTTCGCGCGCGCGCGCGCGTGCATGTGTGTGTGTGTGTGTGTATATATACATATGTATCAGCATGCGTACGTGCATCCGTGTTTATTTCAATATTTCAAAATAATTTACATAAAATGATTTATTTTTATATCATAATTAATTTTGTAAATGGAGTGTCGATAAAGCCGAATATTATGTATCTATTATAGATGTCAGCAGTGAATAACGAAGAATAAGATAAGAAACCAATAAAAACGTGTACATTATTCGTGAGTGATCAGTTCAATTCTAGATGCTGTTGCTTTGCTTGCATATTTATTTACGTAGTTTAATAGGATATGTAGTGTACTTGATATTACACAAATACACAACCTTCATAACCACAGTCATCCGAGAGAATTTACTGAATAAAATACTGAAATTGGTATGCTATGAAAGAAATATTCTCACATATTTGAAATGAAACGAAAATAATGTTAAAAATATCTTGATATCCAGAAGCACATATATCTGTTGTATATGTATTACATAAGAATTAGTATAAATTGATGCAGAGAAATGTGTATACAATTTATATTTAAAATTTTTATTTAGCTTGTAAAAAAAAGAGATATCTAACGTTTTCGTTCATTATAGAGAATTTTTAGCCTCTATATTATATAAAACCTTTTCGAAATTTGTTATTTACATAGTTATACAAAGCATCATGGCAGATTACAGACTTGTGTGTGCAAATTAAACGTATATACAGGATGCTTCTACATTTGCGCGGCTATTTTGATAAATAAAAATAAATAATATTTTATTTTATAGGATCATAAAACTATAACTAATAAGGATTGTACAGCATTTTAATAATTAATTTCAATCATTTAAATTGTTTTATTAGTTAATATTGTAATTATATAAACTATAGTGTTATCAGTTGTGACGTGAGCGAGTGTTCAATATATACGCGTCGTACATTGATATGATATACATACATAAAATCCATTCTGAATAAATTTCAATGTTCTCGACAAAGAAGCAGCTCATAAAGAAAACAGGAAAACATGGGGTTGGACGCTTCAATTTTTTACAACAGTTGGTTACAGAATATAATGTAACTAAGTCTCGAGGTAATTAATTTCAAAAGAATTTTATGTTGATAATTCGAGTGATCGATATTTTATTGATTTTTGTTATATTTTTAATTTGTAAATAAATCGTTGAAATCAAAATATTGTTAATTTATATATTTGAATAATTTATTTTTAGACGCAAAAGAACAGGTGATAGCAAACTTAGCAAATTTTGCATATGATCCTATAAACTATGACTACCTTTGGCGATTAAAAGTAATCGATCTCTTTTTTTCTGCATTAGAACACAAAAATAAGAATATCGTTTCATTTGCTATTGGTGGGATCTGCAATATATGCTTAAGTGAGTCCAGCTTTAATAAATTGTAACGTATAAAGAATAAATTTCAAAAATGAATTCTTTCAGATCCATTACATAAACAGTATATTTTACGAAATAATGGAATTGAAATAATTTCATCTCTTTTAACAAGATCTGAAGAGTCTATAATATTATCGTCGATTACAACCTTGATGTATTTAAATACACCTGATACAAAAAATATTATTGCATCACGTACCAACACTGAACGTATGTTGGAATTTTCCAAAAGTACAAATTCTCGAATTAAAAATTTGGCAGATATCTTTTTACAAGATCTTTGTGGAATAAAACAAAATAAACAATCTACTTCAACTATCACTTCAGATACAGAACCAAGCACAAGCAATTGTACAAATACGGATATAAATCAGATTACTATTGAAGATACATCTAATACACAAAGTGAAGATAAGCAAACAAATATAGAAACTAATGAAATTGCCCATGCAAGTACGAGTACTATAACTTTTTAAAATATTTCTATCGTAAAAAATGAGAAAACCAAAAATATTTCATACTATGCTTGCGTCAGCAAAAAAATACTGCACAAAGGTTTCCTCGAGTTCAAATGTAAACAAAAATTTAGAAAATCTTAAAATTGGTAATAGAGTTTCTATTCAAAGAACCGTAACAGAGGATGATGTCCTTAGATTTATAAAATTAAGTAATGATTATAATCCAATACACATAAATTGCGCAAAAAATATTGTTCACGGAGCCTTTTTAAATAGTCTGTTATCTGGAATTATTGGTACAAAATTACCTGGTCCTGGTACAGTTATTATAGAACAAATCTTAAAATATCCAAATCCTTGTTATGTTGGTGATACAGTTGAAATTTCAGTCGAAATTATTTCTGTAAGAAAAATGGTTAAATGCAAATATACCTGTATAGCAAATTCAGAAAGAATTGTTATGGAAGGAGAGGCTAAATTAATAACAAATAGCAATATAACTAAAAAAATTATACTTATGAAATAAATTAATATTATAAGGATTTTTTTCTTGAGTTGCATTATAAAAGTTTATTTAAATTAAATTGTATTGACAAAAGTATACATATAAAAGTAGGTCTTACAGTACATGTTAAGGTAAATATTACATCAGTCATGCAAAATTCTGCACACTCAGCAATCTGATTTTTGTATATATTGATTTCGTCACTAATTATACAAACATTTGTAAAAGGATAAAGCAAGAAAACAGTAACAGTTGAACCAGTTACACTCGATCCGGTAAAGCTATAACATTCTTTGGTCTGGTACAGTAAGTATTTTTATCCCAGTTATATAAAACAAACTTCAAGTTTAAAACTTTTTAAAAATATTATAACTTTATAATCTCTTAAATATCTTTGTAATATTTTTAATTTATAAATCAATTATTTAAAATTTAATATTTCTTTTAATAATTATTTTTAATAATATGTGTTGAATAAATTTTTCTCAATCTATTTTTAGCAAATAAAAATTATTAAAACGATTATTTTATTTTAATTATATTTATTATACAATAATCAAGATAAACATTTTTTTATGTAGTAATAAATAAATATTTAATTTACAGGTAAAGATGTACTCAATATTTTTTCTATGTTTATTTATGCCATTAACTTATGCTCTTGATGACAACTCAATAACAGAAAGCACTTCCCCTACAATGACAACCGAATCTCTAATTAGTTCTTCAGCTTTAATTACAGAAGCTCCTGTAATTGGTTGCACTTGTGGGGTATTTTTAAGTGGTCAGTTTAAAAAAGGAAGTAAAGAACAACCTAAAGGAAATCCAGCTCTTCTTCATGAGCATCCTGATGTATTTCCATGTTCTAATATAGGCAACAAAATGTGTACCAATAAATGTTTAGATGTTGTGAGTATAATTAATTATTATTTTATTTTTTAATATCATTCTAAGTATTCATTAATTATTTTAAATTTATTTACATATAATTATATAACAGAAATTTAAAATTAAAATTAAAAAATTAAAATTAAAAATTTTAAATTAAAAAATGATGATATAATAACTTTAATAAAATTCATGAATAAGCAATAATTGCCTGTGTGTATAATTTTTATGATTTTGTATTGCCTGAATTAAAAAAATGACCTAATTAAAAATATTCAAAGATGAAATATTTAAAAATAAACAGAATAAATTGAATTAATAATTAATTTTATTATAATTAGAACATAAAAAAAATTTTTTATAAGTACAAAATATCTAAAATCATTGAACTATTAACATTATCAGTGCAATCATTTTTAAAATTAATAAAACATTAATTTTATGTATTTTAGATCGTAAAACATTTACCCAACAGCCCAACTATCCTTTGTGGATCAATTGATAGGGATTGTCATAAAGAAAGAGTAAGAATAAACATAATTAATTATTAGTAAATTACTTTTATAAACAACTATTAATTGATAAGAAAGTTTTATAAAAAGATTTTAAATAAATTTTATAATTACTTAATCATTGTATTACAAAATTAGCGATAAATGAAAATTTAAATAATAAATAAGCTTTAGAATTGAAAATACACAATCGCAATGTTCTTTTAAAAAATTTTTATATTGTAAAATATTCAAATAACTTTATAGATTTTTTAATGCTGCAAGTGGATTAATTAAACAACAATAAATTTTTCTATTAAAATATTACAAATTAGTGTTTTTTAACAAATATATATTTGTTAAACGTATTAAAACTAGAATGAGATTATCTTTTTTAAAATACATCTTAGCTTATTTATATTTTTGATTTATAATAAGAGTTCAGCATATAATATATATAAAGTATAAATTAATTGTATTTTATGTCAACTTAAACATGTGAAATACTGCAACGTTTCATACAAAATATATTATTATATATAAAGAATTGTAAAAGCATATTTAAAATTATTAATCATTCACCATTATTTAATCATTTTAAACATATTTTGTTTTTTATTTTTTTTACGCTTTTTGATTGCTTGTATTATTTGTTTAGGCATACTTATTCGTAAAGAATTGCAAAGATGAATGGGTAAATACAAATCTTTCTGCTGGCCGGGAATACTGTTGTAAGGATGGCCTTCCTTACAAATGTCCCATCATAAGCTGAGTCACTCAATTTAGGATATATATTATTTTTTATATTGTTAGTAAATATAAGGCGTGTCTAAAAATTCGTACAAAGCATAAGAATAATAATGAAAATATTAGATCTCAATATTAAATACATTCTCATATTGATTAACCTATTTACGTTATAGAGACAATAATTTATGAATACCCTATAATGTATAGAAATTCATAATTAATAAAAAAAAAAAATAAGATTTTTCTCCTTAGCATTTCATCATTACACTATATTAATACTTCGTTAATTATATTTTTATAGATATAATTGGAAAAAATAATTTTTTGAAGAGCATAAACTCTAATGAAGTATGTCTAGCAATGTACTAAATCATTAAATTAGACTATTAATTGGTTTTCAAAGAAATATGTCAATATTATAAATATTTTGTAAGGTTTTAATAATTTGCAATATATATTATAAAATAGTCTAATGAAATTAAAAAAAAAAAACAATATGAATCATGAAATTTTGTATTTAATTTTTTTTTTAATATAATCTATTTGTAATTTGTACGTCGATTAGTCGTTGATTTATTATACAGTAGTCTTAAGTCATCTAAAATACAAATTATTAATTGCAATAATGTCTCAAATAATTGAAATTGTTTAATATTAGATATTAATTATTTAAGCGTATGATTAATGCATTTAAAATATATATTCAATATTTGAGATGATCAGTGGGCAAGTGACTTTAACATTTATAAACCTTGAATTATAATGAATAACAAGTAAAAACAGATGGTTTTCACAATGAGTGGAACTTTATGGTAATATTATCGCAATGCATCGAGTACCCGCAGACATGTAATGCAATATTGGGGCAGTACATCGCCTAATGAACAGTCGAAATCCAATAAAAATTTTCCACAAAAAAAAACGCTGAACCTGTTGAGCACAGAATGCACGCAGCCCGAGAGCAATCGTCATCTAAATTTAGCAATAAGCGCGAGGGATCGTCGGCCAGCCAAGAATACGAAACTCGTCGGTGTCGGCTACATGGCTCGCGCGCACGCTTCTATTTAAAACGAGGGAAAAAACGGAGAGAGGTGTATTTCGCTTGGAGAAAAAAGAAAAGGGAGGCGCCAGTTGCTGACGATATATTGACGATCGCTTGACCGAGCCCGATTTCACAAAGCGGACTGAGAAACTAATAGAATGTGAATGTGGGTCAAGTTCAGTGGGAGATGACTTTTATCAAGGATAATGATCGGTCCAACAGCGATCAGCGATCAATGTATTTTTAAATCGTGGAACACTTGGCAGCCCTTCTCGTGACTAATCTCCCATTCGTATTTGTAATAATGGTTGTTTTATGAATCTGCTTGGCCAACTTCGTATCCGTTTATGCTACTTCAAAGGTCCAACCTCCACGACGATTCGCGCTCTCGCAAACGCAGACTTCGACGAGACTCTCTGTGCCTTTGTAATTTCTGTGAGCGTCGACCAAAATAACGTTTCGCGTGTCATCGTTTTTTAGTCTGCGAAGAAAAGTGTTTAAGAAATTGTGTCGATGGTAGTGCCTGCTCGCAAAAAATAAATTTTTTTCCCTTAAATTATTTGTCAATTGTTTCTTTAATCTTTTCATTAGTTTTAAAGTTAGATATTGGCCCTGCATAATAATGTACAAAGTGTGTATCGCATAAAAAATGTCAGTGTGTCGGTTATGCACCGATTCGAATGATGCGTAAATTTCTGTAACGCTTGCTAAATTGTATTATTTATTTTTCCATGAAAACTCATTACATGATTATATACGTTTATATCATTGCATAATATTAAAAGAAACATTAATAATATAACACAATGCTGTAATAATTCATAACATTTCATAAAACTTTATAAATAAATAACGAATAATTTGTGAATGATATTGATTTTTGTTGAACATAAAATAAAACTATTTGAAGAAATTTGAACAAAAAGTGATACAGCGAAAAAGGTAAATAATAATTTAGTAAGATTTTAACTGTCCTTTAAACGAAATTCTACAATCACACATGAAAAATTCTTTTAATTCAATATTTCAATATTTTATATTTACATTGTAAATGTATCATTAATTTACCCATTCTTATTTTGTTGGAATTTTATTATTTGTTTTAACACAATAAAGACATATATAGATATTTTTAATAACTGAAAATAGTGGTTTTCAATTTATATTAAAATTTATATTTATGTTTGTAATTCATATTTTATAAAATTATAATATGCGCATTAAAATAAATATAAAATTTGTCAAATAAGTATTTATAATGAATTTAAGTCGTTTTGTATACTTATTACTTTTTAATTAGTATTCTCCTATAAATACTTAACGTTAAGATCTATTACCATTTTTATTTCTTAAATTCTTAAATATAACATACCCAACAAACCATATGTATATTTAAATATAAAATTTCAATAAAGGATCGCAATAAATGTTTGTAATAAATATAAACAAACTGAAAGCTTAATAATATCTAACAATTATATGTAATAATTAATTGTAACTTAAAATGACTTAATAGTAATAAAATTGATTGTTTACTATATTTTTTCAATAGATAAACTGAGTAATATCGTCGAACTTATATTTATCAGATTTAAAATTATATATGTGAATGAAGAAATATGAAATCTTGTATTGTAAAGAAAATCTTTTAACAACATTGTCGATACTTTGAATTATTATTATTCTTAATATTTAAAGTTTAATTAAATGAAGTACTTATATATATGTTATATTAAAATGTTAATACATACTGTATAAATGGCATAATAAATTTATTGTAAATTGTCATTCTATGTCATAAAATATTGATATATAAATGTATAATATAGATTTACAGATAAATGTTTGAAAAAAATCTTAAAAAACATTAGATTTGTATTAATTGGCATCATAAGCAATATAAGAATGATTAAGAAGGTAATATATAGAACGTTTACAATAAGATATATTATTCAGAGTGCAAACAAAGCACATGCCATAACATTTAATTTCCACGAATTATTATTTGGACTTTTATGACATATTTTCATTAATATTTCATTAATATTTCATTAATAAAAATATATTAAATTTTAATATAAGCAAGTAAATTTAATTAATCAAAATAGGCTTAAAATTAACTTACAATTACAAAATAATTTTTTTACTTGAATTAATTATTATTATAAAATAATTAATATTATATATTTAATTTTAATATTATAGAAGTAATGTATCAGTAAACGGAAAAAAATCTTTAGAGTCGGTATTTTTCGAATTTCAGACGTCACTTACTATTTACTATTGTACGTTGATTGGAAAGATAACTGAAATAAATGGGCGAATAATTTCAGGGTAATTAAAGAAGAATAGAATTTCACCACAGGTATATATAAAGTTGAAAGAAGTTTTGGACATATGCTTTAGAGTCACATCAAATGTCTGGCAAAGGCCGACCCTCGATTATACAGGAAAATTAAGATAGGTTCGTTGGCTTATATGCCGTGAGATTCATCACCTCAGAGAGAAAAATGTGCGCGCGACTGCTTGCATGTCCGTTGTGCTCACAACCAGGCTTCCGGACTCTCGATGCTCTTCGTATGGGCCTCGTGAGCGTTGCAACTCGTCCCCTCGCCTGTCCTGTTTGCAACGAGGTTCTACTTGGCATCGACAAGCTTACGATCCATCTTTTTGGGCATACGGTCGCTGAGGACAATGCCGCCGTCGGAGGCGGTAACGAGTCTGCCAAAATCATGGAGGTGACCTCGGCTGGGAACGCCGGCGTCCAAGCCATTGTTTGCAATACTCAAACAATACCCGTGCAGTCATGGAATGTCCTCAAAACGGCTCAGGCGAGTCTCGAAACATCTAGTAAACGACAACTCGAGGAAGCTGCCACAGAGCCTACAGCTACCAATATCTATATACCAATTGATGAAATAGAGGCATTCAGGAACCTCACCACTCTTAAGGACGACGCGGGCAATGTCATACCTGTAACCAGCAGTCAGGTAAATAAGGTATTTTAATTATATGAATATATTTAAGCTAAAGATCGCTTCAAACTTTCGTTACAATCGAATTCATTTTTAAAATTGACTCGTTGAATCTCGTCATATTTGGACTTATAATCCATTATAATTAACTTTATTTGTTAAAATATAAAAGAAAAACAAAGTATAATTTAATTTTAGGGTTTCGCTTCTAATTTTTTTTCTTAAATATTTCCATAAGCTTACTAATAAAAAATACTTATTCGCAATGTATATAGAATGGGATTGCCGATATGAAGACATCCAGCCAGGTTATCTTCCTACAAAACGTTCAAACGCAGCCCAAAATATTTTCAACTAATCTAATCAATCAAATTAATCAGACATGTAATCAGAAGAAAGACGAAATTCATACAACTATACCTATAAAAGAGATCGTTGATCAGGCAGGCAAAAAGCCCTATACACAGGTGAAATAATTCTCAAAGGCATACATAATAAATCTTATGTCTTTAGTTTCTAGACAAATTAATGCAATTGTTATTATTTTACACAGTAATATAATAAAATGACTATTATTATTGTTACAGTAACATATCTTATATATATATATATATATATATCTATAAGATTCGAATATTATTTTTTATTTATTAAATTGTTAACTTGATATTCTGATTATTAAAAAAATACTTTAGAATAAATAAATAGAAATTTTCTCGTCATTTGTGCCTATTGAAAATGCATTGAGAATTTCACCATTCTATAACAAAAATTATGCTTCCTAAGTTATACTCTCATTAGAATGTGAAGCCATGAATTTATTTATTGCTCATAAATATGAATATTACAACTGCGTCGTCGATTACTTTAATTTTTATAAAATTTGAGCAAATTTATTTATCACGAACTTTACTTAAATGAAACCCTATGTATAAGGCTTATTAATTTTCTTTGAATATAAATTGATGAAAAATAAATTCTTGAATATTCTTATGTTTAATACATTTAATCTCAACATAAGGAGATAATATTTTAAAGGATTTTCTTTTTTATCCTGTCTGAAATTTAAAAGAAAAAAGTATATTAGTCTTTTGAAATATGAAGAAGTAAATTCATTCAAATGTATATTCCCTTTCAGAATAACTCAGTATACCCAATACAATCAAGTTTCTCAAAATAAATTCCAATTTTCAATTTTTATCTTCCTTGGAACAAGACATATTTCCATCTGAATAAGTTTCTTCGATTACCTACGATAATTATAGATCAGTATCTTGTGCTTAACCAATTTTTGACATTATCTATAATCTATTAAAATCGATTTAACGTTGAATTCACTTTCGTTGGTACGATCATGCAGTCTTCGTGGGTCAACAACGCAAATACCGAACCATCGCAGGTATCTGACTATCCGCCCTCGCATACGGATAGACTCGCGGATCTCGTGAAAAACGCCCAGATTACAGCTTCGCCGTTGGGCAATTTTCATGAGTCATTCGATTCTTTAAAATCCGAGACACCACCCGAAATTCCAAGTAAACCACTTATCAAATCTACAAGAATACTGTCGGCCAGCGAGAGGACCGAACGCTGCAATATCTGCGGCTTTCACTTCCCGGACAGGAACATACTGGTGCTACACAAGCAGCTTGTTCATATGGCGAAGGAGAAAAATTCAAACGTTGCTTCTGAAGATTTGATGAAAAACTATCCCTGCCACCTCTGCACAAAGGTTTTCAAGATGAGAGGCAGCCTTATGGTGCACATGCGGGTCGCCCATTCAGGTTTCAACTCCTCAGCTACCGTCAAAGGTAATGAATAAAAATACAGTGTATGCATGTGTCCGTGAAGGCATCGTAGTTCAATAAAACATCGTATTTTAAATTAATTCAAATATCATTTCTGATACAGAACCTTCGTATAAAACTGAGCAAGGAAGGGATACATCGAAGGAGACGGATATATCGTCGAGTAATGAGCACGAAAGCGGTTACAATTGTCCCACTTGTGGAAAAAATTTCAAAAAGGTAACTTATAGCTTAGAATAATACTATACAAGCAAGCATCATTATTAATTCCTATTATATCACCCGTTATATACAACTGTTAACTTCAATTTCTTAATGTTTTTAACATTGATAACATTTATAATATTTTTATAACTCGTGTAAACTTAATTCTATTCTTTTGATATTATTATTCTTCTTCAGTTTAAAAGATTCAATTAATTTTAATTAAAATTTCAAATTGTATAAGTAGTATATATAATAATCAAAATGCAGCTAAATGACATACAAAAAAAAACTTCTCTTTGCATAACAGTAGTATGATTTTTGAAAAACATGACGATTATTTACAGGAACAACACGTTACACAGCATTTAAAAATCCATGAAGGTAAGCAATGGGAATGTGACGTATGCGGTAAAATGTTCACCACAAAGTACTTTCTCAAAAAGCATAAAAGACTTCATTCTGGCGAAATGCCCTATAAATGTAATATATGCGATAAGACATTTACATTCCAACAGTCTTATCACAAACACAGACTTTATCATAAGGACGACAAACCACACACGTGTAGTACTTGTAGTCGTTCATTTAAGGAATTATCTACCTTGCACAATCATGAACGAATTCATACGGGAGAGAAGCCGTTCGCCTGTGAGACATGTGGTACTATTATTGCATCGATTCCTGCTTTGCTGTTTGATTATATATTTTTACCGAGGACCATATCCTGTCTATTATTATTTGCAGCTCCTACTAACGTTTTTACTGTGCAATGAATTAAAATTAAATCACTCCATTGTAAATAATATTTTATCTGGTAAGTTTTAGCATACTACTACTACACTTAGTACTTAGTACTACCGCCACTACTACTATGACTACTACCATGAATATTACTACGACTGATATCACTATTACTGATGCCAATATTACTGATACTGCTACTGCCATTAATACACCTACTACTACTGCTGCTACTACCTCTACTACGACTACTGCTACTGCTGCTACTACTACTGCTACCACCACTACTGCTACTACTATTATTATTTGTGTGGTTATGATTTTGGTTCGTGTTGTTATCATTATTTTTCTTGTTATTTGTCTTTCTTATTGTTATTAACAGTATTTTTATATTTTATTTTTCATTAAAATGAATAAGTAATGCTTGAAAATTAATTTGAAAAAATGAATGCATTTAATTTTTTATAGAATCGTATAACTAAATATTTATTTTCTTAGAGACTCTTTGACAAATATGACATTCTTATAAAACTGTATAGTATAGTATAAAATTTTATTATACTTTTTGCTCGGTTGTTTTTAATTATAAAATGATTTTGCTTATTTAATCCATATCTGTCTATTTAGGAAAATGTTTTCGACAACGAGTTTCATACTTGGTACATCGGCGCATTCATACTGGAGTTATGCCTTATAAATGTACAATGTGTGGAAAAAGTTTTAGATATAAGGTAATTACGTATTTAAAATTATAATGTATAATCCATTTATCTTGATTCACTCTATCGAATTTTGTATAAGCACGATGAAATAAAAATATTATCTACCTATAGTGAAACGAATGATTTCATTTTTATTGCAGCTATTCATAATAAAATAATATGCGACCGTGCAAAGTTTCAATTAATGTATAAATTATTATAAAATAATTATAAATGTTTCTAGCATTTTGATTATAAAAATCATAATTCTTGCTATAAGCATTATTGATATTAATTATTTTAAAATCAATAATATTGTATTAATAAAATTTACGATTTAATTTTATAAAAATATAAATGTTTTAATCGTCATTGACGAATAATACTAAACTAATTATCTTTTTGCGTATATTAAATATCTTTTAAGAATAGGAGACGCATTAAAAATTCATTTTAATAACAATAGTAAAAATTTGCATTTCAAATTTCTAACTATTATTGATTATTAGAAACCTAACACTATTGCTATACCTATTATTAAATGATTATTTTGCATAAATTAAAACAAACTGAGATTTAAATGCTGCGTGTTTGTAATGATGGAAAAATATTTTAAACAGGTTAGTCAAAGAACTCACAAATGTCAACAACAATCATATGGTTCGAATAATTTTGTTGATGATCTACTAGACATGTCTGCAACGAGAGAAACACAAGAGTTATCATCTCAAGACGAACAATCCGTAGATACGCCTATAACAAATGAAGAAAATCAATATGTTTTAGTACTAAATGACGATGGTCAACATATTCTAAAAAGAAAATTGGATGTTGATAATACAAATGAACAAAATATTTTAAATATAAATATTAATGAACAAAATAAAGAAAATTCAAACGAAAGTAACGAATTCATTCGGAATCTTTGGAATGACGAAAGATTTAATAAAATGGAATATAAAAATAATTCTAAAGTGGCGGAAATAATTTCCAACAATGATAATAATTCAAATTTATGGGACAAAACATCCAAAAACAAAATTAATCCTCCGATTTTTGACAACAAGATTTCCAAAGAATTTAACATAAAGGAAACGAATGATTTTACGAAAAGACTTTGGAATCAAACATCAACAAATGAAGTTGCATTTGAAAAAAAAACTAGTGAAATTGATTCAAATACTCGGAGTAATTTTTTTTCTATGGTAGTATCTCCTATAGAAAATGAAATGTCGTCTCCCTCAACAGAAATGAAGCATTTAAGGTTATCTTCACCGGTTAATAATCATCAGGAAAACTCTTGTCAGACTACTGATTGTTTTTCATCAATTACTAATCACACTAATGCCATTCGGACGAGTCGCAATAATGCAGAGGAAAATTTTAATCAAAATAATGTTGATATGTCGACTCTTCAAACTATTAATGAAGATTCTCTTAAAGAATTATTAAATAGCATTACTGATAAATAAATGATTAAAGTATTAAAATTATTTTTAAAATATACTAATTCTAATTTTTCGAGATTTCATTTTTAAATCCTTGCATACTATTTTTTACAAGATCCTATAATTTTATCTCTGTATATTTATCGAAATTAATTATTATTGTACAATTATAGTCATTGATATTATCTTTTATCATTATTGTAATATTTTTCATATTACAGTTAAAGAGACCTACAAATGATGATTATATTCAAATAGTAAAATAATAGAAATTAAATATGATTATTAAATATGAAATATGAAATTAAGTTTAATTATTAATTACTAGCAAAGACCTTTTTACAATTTTGGTGTTATAAATCTAAGTAGTAAGTACAGAGTAGATTTCTTAATTGAATATCTTCACAAATTAACACTGAATTATTATGGTATTTTTAAAAAAATATTATTATTTTCAATTTGCCAAATAATAATAAAATTTTTTTTTATATTATGATAAAATATTATGCTAAAATGTTATATAATATATAATTCAATTGACTCGTCGATTAAAAATATAAATTAAATTACATTTATTATTCAGTTTTTTGTCAATCTTTTAATTTCATTTACAATAACTAGTACTAATTTATTACTTATTTCATTTACTATAAATAGTAATAATGGATAATGTGATCTAATATCACGACTATATTGTTTAATTATTTTTGTTTTTAATAATTATATAAGATTATATGAAAATACTTGGAGTAATTTCTTCACAGTGGTTTATCTTATACATAGCTTATTACTGAGAGAAAAGAGCATCGAAACATTTTTTCTGCATTTACTCGTATGTGAATTATTTTATTTTAAAAATAAATATATCCATTAAGCTTATTTATTTAATATCTGTAATATTAAAAAATATTGAATGGAAAAGTAATACCGATATTTAAAAAAAATTAATCAAGGAAAAGCCGATGTAAGATTTTATAATAATTTTCGCATGAAAAAAGCATGCCTAACTATATTTACTATGAAACAATTATAATGGTATTAACTGAATTTCACAATTAATTCTCAACTAAACCTGAATATATTATTTAAGTCCATAGTCATTATATTATGTTTAGTACAATACATACACTTACACTTAATACAATAACTGTATATTTTATCTTCTAAATGTTAGGATAACATAATGAAATGTTAGAATAGTATATTTAAGCATAAATTCTTAAGATTTAAAAAATTTACAATAGAAACTACTAACATTGATTTCATATATAACTTCGATTTCAATTGATAGTAAGTTACAACCGAAAATTAATAATATATCACATAAGACATTCGTTCTCACGAAGATCAATCTTTTGACTTCAATATATTATTACAGTTATCAATTTTTATTATAACAATCGTATAAAATATTTATTAAAATTTAATATTTATGTTAATATTCTAAGAATATTTTAGAATTTCGCTTACATTTGATTAAGGCAAAAAGTTATATATTATGAAATAGATAAATATAAAAAATAACAGGATAAATAGGCTTGAAATAAAAATTGCCTCTATTCATGTGTAATTAAAACGACGATTTTAATAATATAATAATATTTTTATATAAGTATACATTAATTATATTATTTTAACAACTTTGCTTTCAAAAAACGACCTTGAAAACTATACAAATATTTTTTTTGTGAGATAGTATCTATTAAAATAATTGTTACAATACAAAATTAATTTGAATCAATCGCGAAACCAAAAGTAATCTTTCTATTTTTTAAACAACCACTGAATATTAAATATAAACAATAATTTGTTAATGCCTATATACCGAATCGTAGTTGACAATATAAAGAATAAAGAACACTATATCAGGTACGAAAATTGCGTTGAGTTGTGCGCTTGCCTGAACATTATAAATTGTCCTGCCACACACGGTATAGTATGTAAACATATACTTTTGAAGTTTATGCTCTTTGTTCCGTAGATATGGAAAAATAAAATTCTAAATAAATTAAATAGAAACCCTCTTAATCCTTAATCGTAATAAAATAATGAATAATCAATGAATATTCAGTATTTACTAGCTTTACAAATGTAATGCAGACTTATGGCAGTATTAATTTGCATTGGGCAAGGTAAAGATATTTTTTTCAATAATAAACTGTGTTCCACTCGGGAAGTGTATGTGTAATAATCAATTCTGATGCATTAGTTATAGCTATTTTATTTATAAGTGCTTAAGTCTAACTTGAGATTATTATAGAGTAATGAATATATTCGACCCATTTGCATTAAATTAATCATCCTTACTTTATGATAATAATCTATTTTTAAATCATTATAGAAGAGAACGTTTAAAATGGAGCTTAATACTTTTAAGTGGGACTTGTTTTGTTTATGCTTCAAGAACATCTGTTCCTCTCTTAATGCCAATAATTGGCAAGGAAAAGGGATGGAGCAAAACAGATTCTGGAACTATCCTTTCCAGCTTCTTTTGGGGTTACACAATGACACAAGTATTGGGTGGATATATAAGTGATCGAATAGGAGGTCAGCGTATTATGTGGATTGCTGCAGTAGGCTGGGGAATATTAACCTTCTTATTACCCGATATCATTGAATTTTCTTCAAAATACGACTATTCTATAGAAATCATAGCGTTTGCTCGTATGATAAATGGAGCATTCCAAGGTATGTAAAATAAATTTATATAAATTATACAAGTGTATTTATTAATTCTTAAAAAATTTAATGTATTTTACATAGGAATGCACTTTCCTAGTATGATTAGTTTGACAAGTCAACGATTAACTGAAAGTGAAAGAGCATCTTTCTTCAGCTTGGTAACTTCTGGTTCTGCTTTGGGAACTCTATTGACTGGAGTTTTAGGATCTTATGTTTTACAACATTATGAATGGGATTCTGTTTTTAGAGTTTTAGGTAATTGATTTCATTTTAGTTAAATTAAAGTACTCTTAGCTTAATGTGATTTAATAAAAGAATAACTGATATTTGTAGGTTGTATAAGTATTGCTTGGACATTTCTGCTCATTTATTATTCCTTATTACTCAGCGGCCGGTCAATAATTGATAAGGAATCATCTGATAATAAATTACCAATCAAAGAACTTATTACTAAAGCGCCTTTCTGGTAATCATGGTACAAAAATAATAATGCACAGATTTTTATCAAGAATTCACTAAACTTATAACTAAAAATTAATAGAAATCTAGAAATATTATATTTAAATTCCACCTTATTGAAAATATTTATAGGTCTTGCGTGATTGGTCATGCATGTCAAAACAATTGCTTTTTTATCTTATTATCATGGATGCCTACGTACTTTCACGATACATTTCCTGAAGTTAAGGTATTTCATTATTTTATTGAAACTGTTGATGCAACTTTTTAAAACAAAATATTTTTAAATTAAAATTTCAAGAGCTGGATAGTAAATATGGTACCATGGCTTGCTTCAGTACCATCGATATTTTTGGGTAGAGCAATTTCTGAAAAACTAATAAAGATTGGTTTCACTGTCACAGTAACGCGTAAAATTATACAAACAACTTGTTTTGTGATACAAGCTATAAATTTATTATTTCTAGGTTTATACATAATTTCATAATGTAAATCTGAATGAAAACTAATTGTTATTAATTTAATGTATTTCATTTTACAGCTGCAACTGACACATCAGAAAAAGCAATTTTATATCTAACTTTAATTATTGCTGGTTCTGGTTTTCATAATAGTGCAATTGTAGTAAATCCATCAGATTTAGCACCAAAACATTCTGGTAGTGTTTTTGGATTTATGAATACCATTGGTGCTATTCCTGGTAAACATATGTATTCATAATTTTCATGTAATATATATATATATATATATATATATATATATATATATATTATATTTTAACAGAGTTATTATTTTAGGTTTCTTAGGAGTTTATTTTGCTGGACACATTCTACATCAAACACACAGCTGGACTGTTGTATTTATTTACATTTTTGTAATAGAAATAATAGGAGCATTGGTTTATTTACTTTTTGGTTCTGGTCAAGCAATTTTATAAAAAATAATCTTCATTCAAATAAAAAGAATTCATTTCAAAAGTTTAGACATATAAGGTCCATCTAATTGATAACCCATTTTTCTATAATAATTTCTAGTCCCAACACCTACAAAAATAATTATAATTTATAAATTGAAAAATTAAAATTTTTCTTCTTATATTAAGATGTAAATATCAATAAACTATTAAATACCTGAAATTACAGCAAGTCTTGATGCTACATGTTCTTCTTTTGCAATCCTTTCAGCTTCTTCCATTAAAAGCATACCATAACCCTGATGTTGAAATTTTGATAAATCATGAGCATTTACTGGTACTACACTTCCATATACATGAAGTTCTCGTACAACCGAGCAATGATCTTTCAATTCAGCTCTTTAAAAATTAATATGAGTTTTAAAATGTATACTATTATACAATTTTATTTAATATTTCCTCAAAAATAATACCTAAACTGGTCCTTCGAGCACTTCCTAAGTCTTAACATTGCAATTAAAATATCTTGTGAAGGGTCTTCATAAGATAAAAATGTTTCCCATCCATTATTAGCAACATAATCCCTACGAATTAATTCAATTTCGTGAGGCTTAATCTTATTATGTATTTCTTGAATTCCAACTTCTCTTGTTCTTATATCTCTACAAGTAACACCTAACTCTTGCATTCTTTCTAAAGCTAATTCGCGTAAATTACCGTGTTCTACACCAGAACTATTCAAGTAAAAGTATTTAATTAATAATAATAATAATAAATTTGAAATGCTACATTAATTTAATATTCAATATTACCTTACTAAAGGCATTGGTATATCTCTCTGTACTCGATATACCCGCGTCCATGGTGGAACGAGAGCTAAAATTTGCGCTATAAGATCAACAAGTACTCTCGGTGGATAACTTTTATATCTTCCACTTTTCCACAATTCATATAAACCAGTACCTCTAATGACTAAAGTTGGATAAATTTTTAAACCATCTGCTCTAAAATTTGGATTTTCAAAAAATTCCTGTATCAAAAAATTGTTTCTGTAAGAATTAAAATTTTTATATTTTTATATCTATAATTTATTAGACCTGTGATATACTTACAATAAATTGTTCGATATCTCTATCTAATTCAACATTAGGTAAGTCTGGCATCATATGTGCTATTACTTTAAAGCCAGCATCCTTAGATAACTGAAAACTTTCACAAACTGCACGAACTGTATGGCCTCTATTGGTATCTCGTGCTACATCTTCATATACAGATTGTACGCCAATTTCAAGTCGAGTACAACTATTGATTAATAAATGATCAAATTTAGTATATTATGAGATTTAAACTATTTTACAACATTTTAAATACTAACCCATAGTTTAACATGTCCGATAGATGTTTTTTGAGACAATAATCTGGTCGAGTTTCAATTGTAATACCTATACATTTACTTCGACTTCGCTCTGAATATTTTACAGCTTCTGCTACACTGTTACTCTTATGTCCTGATAAAGCATCGTGCAAATTTCGAATAAAGTAATCTCTATAATCTTCTGGCAAAGACATAAATGTTCCTCCCATAACAATAAATTCTACTTTATCCACGCTATGACCTAATTGCTTTAACTATATTTTAAAATTATGAAATTAAAAAAATTTTGAATCAAACAAAAATAAATCAAATTTATTAAAAATATTTTCAAACCTGATCAATTCTATGTCTAGTCTGTAAAAATGGATCATAACGAGCACGTATTGCTCTCATTGACGTTGGCTCATATCCAGTATAAGATTGAGTAGAATATTCAAAATCTGAATCTGGCCCACCAGGACAATAAACACAAATATTTCCTGTCATATTAATATGCGGACACCTATGAGGCTTACACATAACAGCAACAACTGCAACCTATATAATGAAATACTTAAATAATTTATTACAGCAATTTATTTATGTAATTTACGTAATGTATTATAATAAAATATTTTATAAAAAAATATCTCACACCACTAGCTGTCCTAATAGGCTTTGCTTTGAGTTTTGGTAACAGAAGATGTCTTACATCATATGGTACAGCAGCGATAATATCAACTAATCTAGGTGATGTAGATAAACCATATTTAGAAGAGATTTGAGTTTTTAACTTATTTAAATCAACATCTTTATTTTTTTCATATGCATTTAATAATTCTTGAATTATTTCTCCAATTGTTATCATCATACGCTCATCCTTAGATTGAGTAAATTCTAAAAATATACATAATTACCCAATTATAAATTAAATAAATAAAATGATTACAATATCATTAAAAATTAAATATATTATAATTATATTTTAAAAATAAATGTATAACACATAATTAAATATTGATAAATATTTATTACCTTTTTGTTTCTTCCCCATATTAAAAGAAATCAAGAATAAGCTTGTAAAAATCTTAATTTATAAAATTTATTTTATTAATTTGTTTCCTTTATCTTTATATATTAAACTTTTGAAAATCCTACATCAAATTAATTCCACCGCATGTAAATATTAAATTCAAAATTTATCATGAAAACTTCCTTTAGTGGAATAATCCAACACTACAATTTGTGCGTACATGCGGTTCGATCCAAACGTAACAACAAAGTTATCTATAAGCAACAAAGGTTTCATCTCTGATCTAGACACCCTCTTACATCTAATTGAGTAACTATTGAATTGCTAACTTCGTCAACAAAATATTAAGTTAACGATAATTAACTTAATTCTTAATTTTATAAACATAATTCATAATCCATCTAATTAATGGCGATATAATAGGAAATTATCAAAATTGATAAAATTTTAAGGTACAGACAACATATTTAATATTTTTTTTAATTTACAACAAATAAACAATAATTAATAATTATGTAGTTGTAGCATATTTTTCTTTAAATTGAAAATACATTCAAATTGAAGTCTTATTCTATTGTATTCTAGCTAGGTATTATATAAAAATAATTTATGTTCTTGATTTCCTATAAAAATTCAAGTATATCTTTATATACAGAATAATTATAAGAAAATATTTTTAAAGTAGCCTTTTTAAACAATAAAAGAAATCATAGGGTCATAAAAATAATAATTCTTTTAGAAGAATTTTAATTGTTTAATCAGAATACCAATAATAGCATTGACATTTGTATAGTTTAACTATTTAAATTATTTATAATTAGAATCATTTTCTATTATATCATATTAGTGTTTCATAATAATTTATTATTGATAGAATTGCATTTATTTCATGCAAAACATCAATTAAAATCATAATACATAACCTCTATAGTAGAGTATTCATGTATTATTATTAGGACTGTTGAGATTGATAAAAATGCCTTTTTTGGTAATTATTTTCTTGACTTTTAAAAAAAGATGTAATCTTTAATAACAATAATGTTATGTTATATAAGAGAAACAATTTATTTACATTTGCATTTATATTAAAATTTAATTTATTTTACAATTGGTATGGCTTATTTTGTAAAAATATATTTCTTAATATACTTTAGAAAGTTAGATAAGGAGTATTTTATAAACATTCTTGTACCTTAAAAAAATACTAATTTATAGGAAATTTAAATTTATTTGCAAACAGCTTTGTTTATTTTAACCTATTTTTAAAAAATTTTTATTTAAATCGGATGTTAATAAATTTGTTTAATTCAATTACATATATAAATTAAATAATTAACATAAAAATAAAATTTTATAAATTAATAGTTATATTAAATATTTACAATTTATTTCCCAAATTTGATAAAACATTAGATTATGTATTATAAAATTTATAAAATATAAATATTATTGCAATATATATTTTTTTATTCTTGTTTATAGCATGAAAAGATTTACTGTAAATTGAAATCAAAGATTTGGTAAAATTGAAGAAAATAAAAAGTTTAATAAAAGTTTAAATATACAGTTTAAAATGTATAGTTTTTAATAATAAATTAGCATAATATGAAGATAAAATGATAAAAAACACTTTGACTTTAATTGTTATAAACGTCAGGATTCACTTAATTCAGCACCTTAAATTTGGCAGAGGTAAGGATTTTTTAATTCTAAAATAATATAAATGTTTTCTACCTTAGAATAATTTAAAATAAACATTCTTAATATATCAGTGTATTTACTAAATTTCCTCAGCTAATATTTATAACAATATTATAAACAAATTATATTAAATAATATTTGAAGTAATTTTCTAGAATAGCAATTTTTTATTAATTTGATTATTGATGTTAAATTTCTTTTTGATTTCTGTTTGATAATTTATATTTTAGTATAAAGAAATAAAAAAATTATAAAATAGTTTGTAATTATTTTTTTTTCTTTACAAATTTTATAAAATTAAAAAACAAAGAAAATTTACACAAATTCCTAACAAAGTACAAATTATAATTAAACTAATATTCATTTTTTATTAAGTTGGCAATTTAGTTGTATAATTTTTATAATTAGCATACATTTTTAATTCTAAATTTAATATATTTTTTTAAATATATCTATCATATAAATACTTATATGAAATTTTTTATTATTATTGTATTGCCTTAATTATAATTTTTCATTCAAAATCTGTATCTTATTTAATATATTATTAATATATTTTTGATACTTTTAGAACATGTTATATATACCAAAAATAGGTTAATTAAATCGATCATTAAAATCTTTGTTTTGTTTTTGTATTTAACTTTAAACAATATAATTAGAATTCAAAAAATAGAAGTTTTGAAATAAGAAATACATGAGAAATCGAATTATTTTATTGATAATTTTTTGTACTTTATGCTCATTTTATGAAAATAATAAGACAAATATGTACAGTTAATATAAGTTTTTATTTTATTTTAGTTTTCGAACTTGATTAACTATATAAAGCAGCAATAAAAAATACAATATAAAATTTATGTAATTAATACATTTTTTTAAAAGGATATATATACATATATATATATATATATATATATATATAGAGAGAGAGATAATACACAAGAAAGAGAGTGTGTTTGACTTAAAATCTGAATATATAAAAGATGAAGATGACATCATGAATAGATACTATTTGCATCTCTATAGGTGTTCTTACACTTGTGACCTGACCAAAAATATTTTGAAAATATTACTGCAATATTGCATGCTATCAGTTTCATAAATACTATTTATATAAATATTAAAAGACAAAAATATAATTTATTGTTTTTAAATCGAAACATTGGTTAATCCCAAAGGGGGCGCTGAAATCGGTAAGCAAAAAAGGGAAAACAGCTAATTAAGCTAAATGGAGAAGGGACTAAAGTACCGGCGAGTGGGGGCGGTGTTCGCGAAGGGAAGGGGTTTTCGGCATGTGAATGTGATCCTATTGTTACGCATGTAGCCATTTACTTATTTATGAACACCGTGCATGCCTATGCATAGATATAGCATGCTGGGATTACTGTAGGCATCGCCACCGAAAGTACATGTGAATTTTTAATCTATGTTTTCCCTATAACTGAAATTCGAAATTACTATAGGCTATAGTTTACTCTAAAATCGAATAGCGCGCGCGCGCATTCGCACACTCCATCTCCTGTAGTTGCATATTGTAGCTACATATACAGATATATTCAATTCGAGAGGGAGAGGGAGAGGGACAGAGAAAGAGAAAGAGACATTATATACACATTCGCAATCTAGCTTGCAACAATACCGCTTACACTTATACATTAGAAACTTATAGTCGTCGGGAATTCACGTGTCATCCCGAGCTCGTCGGAAAAAGATATATTCATTCTCGTATTCGTCGTGAGTCGATTTTTTGCGCCGAGGCGAACGTGAAGATATAACATATCTCTAAAATTCTACAATCTATAATACAAAGAGTTGCGTAATATTGCAAAACAGGAGCGTGAGACAGAGGAGTCGCGAAGTGAGTCAAACAGCAGTGCTGTACGAGTTGTCTACGAAATTGCAGAGGGAAGAGGAATTGAGCGACGAATCGAAAATCCCAGAGGAGCCTCATCTTGCTCCTTTTAATCTCAGTGAGTATTATTAGAATCCAATATATTATGGCTAAGGATGTGGATCGAATGCGTAATGTATATGGGGAGAAACGCGAATTTTCTAATTCGAGGGCGTCTGGCCCCTTGCGGATTTCAATCGTGAACTTCGCAGTCTCTAAGCCCTGATATCGGGCATGACGCGGAGGAAGGTGCGGAGACTCGAAAAACCTCGCGTAACGGGAGCACCAACTTCGATTCTGATTCTCCCTGGCCTGTACGTTGACGGCTCGAAGTCTCACACCTCGGTGGGTGGGGGAGGCGAAGGATGAGGAAAATAAAAACGATCGTGCACTCGCAATGAGGACAGAGAGGGGGGGGAGCTTTTTATCAGGGGCCAATCGACGGAGAGCTTTATTGGGGGAACGTTATAAGCCAATGAAAGCGCGCGCACAGACCTCGAGGTTAAATGGAAACCTGCTACTCCCGACCCAAGTCGCACTCTCCAGGCTCCTTCAACAGCTGTTTCAAAAGCACCGTTGCCACGTTCCTCTTAGCTCCCACGAAGCGCTTACCACTCGCTACTATCTCGACACCTCCGCGACCTTACGAAACAAGCATCAAGACTTCTGATTTCCAAGAGCGAGGACTCTTGCTTTTACATAGATTTATAGATAGATAGATCGTTAGATAGATAGATAGACGGATGGATGAATAGAGAGAGAAAGAGGGGGGGGGGGTAATACACACATTTATATACATGTTCATGTAATATGTACATGTATATGCATAAGTGTAGCTTACGCTAGACTTTTTTTTAAATTGCTGTGACTGTGTTTTCTGCAGTAAAGCAACAACTATTCCTGTATCTTAAGTATCACTCACTGTCGTTACTTTATTGTAGAGAACTAAATTCTTTTGACACTCGTGCTTTCCCACTCAATATTAATACTTACAATAATAATTATAATTATTCTTTAATCTTAAAAGTACACCAATCATTTATATTAGTCTATATTGTTGCAAGGGCTCTTCTGTTTCCAAATTCACATATTTAATTCATAATTCTTATATTGTATCTTAATAAGCCTTTATACTTTATAATTATTGCATTTATATAAAAGTTTGAATTTTTCACACTTGCAAGATATTCGTTGTGTAGATTTTCGATCTACAGATTTTGAACTATAGACAAGGTATCTTTTTTTAGGATCTTACTAAATAACTTATTAAAAGATATACAGTATATTCTCCCAGAGTTAAGTTTCTCAAATTAGTTTTTCTCTGCTTAGTTCTTTTGAAAATTAAATCGCTGCCTGATACCTTCACCATCTATACCTTTTTTTGGAATTTCAATTTAAATTTTATTCAATTGGTAAATTTTGTTCCGTTTTAGACGC